ATCAATCCAGCACGAAACAAGCATCGTGTGCCGCTGGCTTAATCTCGTCTTATATTTAGAAACGTTCTCTCTCTCTCTCTCTCTTTATGGTTTCATACAAGCCTATATTCAGTAGCCCTTTTAACACAACATGAAGGAAGACTATTAGGAAGGAATTTATAAGTTTTGATTTGTTTCTTATTTGAAAGATAGAAGGGGATTGATAAAAATGTTTTTTTTAAACGTTTTAGTCAATAACGTAATAAGAAGAAAGCGCATTTGACCTACTGTTGAATCTATCACTATTCAATTGTTCTGTCACTCAAATCTATCACTACCTAAATTTTTTTTATTAAGATATTATACATAGCCTTTAAGTGCAAGCTTATTTGGTTTAAAAGTTCTCACAATCTTTATTTTCCTTACCCTATCTAAAGTTGTTTCCTTATTACTAAGGCATGTGTATAAGAATGTCTTAACGTACCTATTTACATTGGTCATTTAGACTTTGCCTTAACCTACTTCTATTTCTACAACTCCTACTGTTTTTATCCTTCACCCACATTTTGATCTCGGCTTTAACTTGAATAATATATTGCTTGACTTCTAATCTCTTGCTAATCTCTTGTTCTTATTGTACTGCCTCCTTCCTTTTTTTTCCTTTATATAATTTCACTTATTCATTTTCAAACTTCTGTTCCTTACTCACTAAGCTTAAAACTAACCTTAACCTACAAACGTAAAACACATCTTCTACTTTCTATTAAGTATTACCTTAAAATTAGATGTAGATTTAGATTTAAATCCAAATCTTAAACGCACAGTTCCAATTTCCCTTTTAAACTCAAAAAACAAAAATAACCTCCGATTTAACTTTTACCTTTTGATTTCGATTTTCCACTAGATTTATCTCGAATTTCAAGCTAGTCCACAACTTAAGATTTGAATTCAGATCCAATTCTTCACATATTGATTGCATGAATGAATACCGCTCCGGGATTAATATAGGGTCTTAAGGCTAATAAATTAAAATTCACGAAAATTATAACGTATGTCATCTTAACAAGATATAGGTGTTACAATGTGCTTTATCGATTGTCCATCCTAGTTTACTCCCTTATACTTTTTTTTATACTTTAGCATTGGCGGCATTCAGGAGAGAAAGCTACTTTGCAACTGTTATAAAATTCGTGAATCTGATTAGTATATGCTCTTGGATTTAATCCAAATTAAGAGCATACTCCAATCAGATTCATGAATTTTACAACATTTGCAAAGTAGCTTTCTTTGCTAAACGCAACTATTGTCTTAAGTTATCTGTTTATATTGCTTTCCTGGAATTTGTCTTAGCCTACTTCTAATGCTACCGCTCCTGTTTTCACCTATCTTGTTTGAATTTTATCTTTTTAAATAAAGTATTTGGTTTTTCGTCTCTTATTTATTCTTATTTTACTACCTCTCCTCTCTTCTCCTTTCTAGCTTCGCTTATTTACTTTTAAGGTTCTGCTTCTAACTCTCTAAATCTATAATCGTCTTAAAATTAACTATAATACTCCAATTAATCTTATGGCTCCTGCACACAGGACGCGGTAATGCTTTCCGTAATAATCTTCTAGCTCTTAGGGTGCCATCCCATTGAGCACGGATCGGAACGC